GCTCATCCACTTTCTCTTTTCTTTTCTTTGCAGGTAAGAAAAGGATGATCACATAGTCTCCGAGTGGACAGTTGTTACTAACAACCGTACATCCCTAACCTAACCTATGTGTTGCCAAGTATGCCTTATTGCATATTTTTGCAATTTTGTTAAAAGCTCTCAAATATTCAATTTCTAATAAGAATGTTTATTTTTCTACTTTTTAATATTGAAAAAAATAATCTATTACATTATGAAGTTATGGTTAAAAAAATGGACGACACCTTATTGAAAACTAAGTATGTACTTATAAAATGTAACTCTACCCCGCATATATGCAAATAATTATGGAAAATTGTGGAAAGTAACTGACGGCTGTTTATGACTAATAACGCTTTTCCAAGAATGCAAAATAGACGGTCGCGGTTAAATTTTATTTATTTGAAAAAGTATACAAACACACACACGGACAGACGTAATGGTCATTGATTGCGATAACACAACAATCCATATATGTATGTAGTACGTATTATACAATATTATGCACATAAGTATATACAATAAATGTACATATATAATTGTTTATTGTTGATTATTTTGCGTTGAATAAATGTACACAAAAATTTAAGCAGCACAAAGTTAAATGTTTCACCAACGCCATGTATTCTCATCATCAATTATTAAGATTTAAATAGCTCACGTTGTTTTTGATCTTTTTTTAAATTTATTTTTATGTGATTTTTTGGTTTGGTTTTAATTGCCGGTATTTGAGAGCAAAAAATCCACCAATTCAGAATTTGATGCTTATTATTCGTTTTTACTAGTTCCTCATGTAATTTTATACTACATTAATTGAAGGAAACAATGTAAGTTAGTTAGCTAAATGCTGGTCAAAATATCTGGTCAGTTGAAAATAACTCGTCCCACAAATAGAGGAAAAAATAAAAAAAATTGTAATATTATAAAAATATTTTTAATTAATTGAATTATGATACTTCAAGTGAGAAGAGAAGATATGAAGGTTTTGTCCAGAAGAAGAGGGCTGATATTCCACATATTCGAACTTGATCGAAATCGACTCCTAATAGTCTAAAACGGATATGGTCCAAAGATACATGGAATCTTAGACCAATATATCGATGAGGCACATTTTTACTTTAAAAATGTGTATAGGGTAAGTGTACCTATAATCAGCACTTTAGGGATTTTCGCAACGTTAAACGTTGAATTAATTTGTATTAAAATTGGTTAAATCGACAATTAGGTAAAATAGTGATTTTTTGCCAATAGTCGGCATGTCATGTTCCAAAAGTCGGCATATCGCATTTTAGTTTAAAAATGTTATATTTAATCGATTTTACTGTTATTTACATTTATAACTTAATATTATCAGACGATTACATCAGAGATGTATTGAAAATGTTATAAAAAATAAATGTATTTATTCATGGTAAATAATAAAAGGTAACAGCAAATCCCAGCAGATTTGATTCCAACGTAATGCTAGTGTCAATATGAATTTGACAAATTATCTTTTTAAAAATCACCCAACAGGAAAATTGGGAAAGCGTATTAAATTTACTCAATCTGCCTGCTGGGAAAGTTTGAGGTAGCAAATCATTCTTCATGAAATAACTCGCAATTCCCTGCATTTTCATATGTTACATATATACTTATACACATATAAGTGGTTATGGCTCAATAATAGGAAAGATGTGGAAGCGATAGAAATATAAATTTGATAGATTTTCAATCATGTTTTTCAATTTTATTTTGAGGATTCGAAAATATTTCATTTTCCAAATAAATATAATTTCTTGATAATTTGTTTGTTTGTTTACATTTTTCTGTCAAATGACGTTGACACTAGTATAATTTACAACAACAAATTTCCATGTGGTTGTTGTATCGTTTGTTGTACAACAACACTTGATGTTACCTTATTAAAATTATTAAATATGTTGCCGATATTGGGAAGTTATTATCCAATTCTCGGCATAGCTAAATCAGGCATTTCAGAGTTTTAACGAATTTAAGATAAGCCATGGGTTCCATTATGTAAAACCACTCAAAACAGTTTTTTTAATCGGTATTTAGAGCCGTATTAAAAATTTGTTTCCCATTTCGAGCTAAATTAGGCATTTCAGAGTTTTAACGAATTTAAGATAAGCCATGGGTTCCATTATGTAAAACAACTCAAAACAGTTTTTTTAATCGGTATTTAGAGCCGTATTAAAAATTTGTTTCCCATTTCGAGCCAAAAGGTGCTTATTATTCAACCATATGCCGACTATAGGAAAATATATATTTTGTAATTATAACAAATAATTTTGTATATGGAATTTTTTAACCAAGCTTCTTAAATGTCACTCCAAAACTAATTATTATTCTTGGGTTTATCTATAACGGCCTTCCTTTTGAAATTGCACCACAAATGTTTAATTGGATTTAGATCCGGTGACTGCGCGGGCCCTTCCATAATATCTATATTGCTGTTCTGAATTGAATATCTATATTGCTGTTCTGAATTGATTGGTTTGCGTTGGACCATTCCTGTTGAAATTTCTATTTTATATGCATTTCATATTCAACATAAAGAACCATAATATGATGCAAAATTGAGCGGCATCCATTGTATTTAATATCCAATATCTAGGTCCAACTTCGCAGTACAAGAAAAACGCTCAAAGCGTCATATGTGACTCACTTTCTTCGATAGTTTTAGGGATCAGATTTGTTCTGTGGACGTCTTATATATTGTTCGGATCCACTTTCATCATAAAAACTTATTGCGCTGCTATTATTTTGACCGAAACTGTACATGCCGATATTAGGAGCACTTACCCTATACCCTAACATTTAAAAAAGGATCCGAGATCGGGGTTTATTGTTCTCTATAAGAATTTTAAAATCTAAAAAAAAGATCGAATCCGATGAGATGAGACATGAGAAATTTCTATGAACCATCTTAACCCTTTGTGGCCCAATGTTGCCCACAGGCAACAAAATGTTTTAGAGCTTATATTTTATATGCAGCTATTAGATATGTATTATTTGGATTTCATATGTCAAGACCTGATTATGGACGACACATATCAAAAGAAAAATCAAAAAAATTCAAAATTTTGGTAAAGTTATGAGGTTTTCAATATAGAGAAGAGGGTAAATTTGTGTACAGTACTAATTTGTGTATACAGCCCAAATTATTTAAATCTCTTCGTATTAAAATTGTACAAATTCTGTCCTCAGAATTATTGTTGATTCTTGTAAAATTGAATATAAAGAATAATTTAAAATGATTTTCTGACGATTTTGCATTTGGTTATCTTGACATTAAATTTTCCGAAAGAATGTACTGTATCTCCCGAATGCAAGGATATATCGATGTCAAATTTTGTGCATATCCTATTTATGATAGTTGCATTAAATCTGTGAACAGAAATTTGTTCTAAGATTGCGGAAAAAATTCGGGGCTCAAAGGGTTAAGCATAAGGAAACAAATCTACCACGCACAAGACGTGCACCAACCCACTACATATATTGATTTTTTTTTCAACATATGGCTATGTCCAGTACATTATACTTTCACTAATAATAATTATCTCCACAACTATGTTCATTCATAGAATAAACTTAATATGTAAATATTATCTACAATTGTAAATAAATAAGTGCTTCAGAATTCTAAGAAAACAAAGCTGACTCATTGCAAAAAAAAAACAACAAAAATTCATTCATAAATTTTAAATGTTTATAAAATAAAAACAAACAACAATACCAACAATACCAAATGCCTGGTTGTGGCGGTAAAACAACAACATTGTGTTTGTCTGTAGCAATGTGATGATTAAATATTCAAACATTCAATTAAATAATTATAATTATTTACTAAAATGAAAATAATAATAATATCTCATCACTTCTCACAGCTATTGGCAAGAGAACAACACGAACATTTTGGATAAAGACAAACTATGCAAATTTCAATATGCAGAAAGGTATCCATATAATGGACACATTCAATACATGTATTGTTAGACCACAATTTAAGCACTAGATTTATTTTCTTGCAAATGTAACATCTGGAATTGAATCTGTGTGTTTTCTACAATAAAATGTGACAAGCAGGGTTTAAAATGCAGCATCAAAAAATATTAGCATTAGTCTTACAGAGCTACTGCTAAAAAATATTGACATTATGACTAAATCAGCAAACGGATAGCTTTTTTAGTTCGTAGCATCCGTGCTAAGCACGTATTGCACATGCGAGCTTTTTTTGTTATGACTAATCGGCAGTACGACTACATATTCATATTTCGCTGCCGTCGAATAATCAGCCGAGGGTTGTTTTTATGTTTGTGTGTTGCCAACGCAGAATTAGAAAAACGGCATTTCATTTTGTGCGTTTTTATTTAATTTAAACTTGTCAAATCGCAATTAAAACTGTCAATAATAGTACTAAAAACTAAATAATATATTAAATTAAACTCTTTAGCAAGTATTACTAATTGTCTTTGTTCGAAAAAATGAAATTATCATAATCGCCATTTTTAATTATCTCATTTAATTTATAAAATTTCAATGGGCAACACTGAACTCGAAAAATGCTCGGGTTTTGTTTGCTAAAAATCTTGCTAAGCAGCCACAGTCAAGGTGCTTAGTCTTCATTGTAAGCTTTGGTTGTTAGTCGCGTTGACAATTATGTTGTAGTTGTTCATTGCTATTTTGTAGTTGCTGACAAGATCAAGAAGCTTTAGTTTTGCTTGCTAAAATTATTCGTAATGTATTGCTATTTGTTGCAGTTGTGCTTGGCTGTGCTGCATAGTTTGAGGATGAATTTAGTTAGCAGTGCGTCAATTTTCTGTGTTTTTGCTATTTTGGCGTTAGCATTTTAAACCCTGGTGACAAGCTATTATTCCGCCTGTTGTCCAAATATCCAACAGATTAAGTAAAGCAAACGAAAAACAAAAACAATACATATTAAATCTAAAAAACAAACTCAGAATTATATCTTCACTTACCGCACGCCATATACGCTTCGTGGGCGGTGATTTGATCAACCAGCCCTCATAGTAAATTTCTTTGTTCATATCAATAATTTTTGTATGCTTCCACAATTTTAAATCAATTTTGGCGTCTTTTTTAATTTAAATCTGTAATACTACAAAAAAAGAACACAACCAACAACGACGACACCAAACGCGACCAGAATTAAGCACGGTTCTAACTAAACAACGCAGATTGGACACTATTTTCTGTGTAATTTCTGATAATCTCCACCCAAAAAAAATGTATGTGTGTTCCTCCTCGTTCTTCGTTTCGTTTTTATGTACTTTCGCTGCTTTTGTGTGTTTTCGTGTCACAGGAAGTTGCTTTTATTTTCGAATAGGTTCCATTTAACTTTGATTTGATTTCATTGGAGAAAGCGTACTAATATTTCACGAGAATAATTTCAAATATATTTTATCCATTTTGTTGTTGTTTAAAATTGATTTTCAATTTCGGGATTACTCCAATGCACTTTACAAATTAACAACACAAATATACGTAGAGTAGAGTTATGTCGTTCCGAAACAAGCTAGTTCAGAGGAATTATTATTCCGCAAAGAGAACGATCGGAACCAAAGCAGATTTAATAAGGTAGATAGAACGGAACAGCTGTTGGTGCAATGAGCTGTCAAATAATGTTGTGATTTAAAACACATATGTTAAAATGTTAACGCATTTATATTTTTTTCCTTTATAATATTCATGGCATACTTATACAAGCTAGCCTCATGCAGTCAGATGTTTTGAATTTTTTTCATAAATTTGCCTATGACAGTATCCAGCTTTCAAAATTTAAATGAAAATATCTTTCTTCTAAATGTACGCATATTATATGTTCAGTGGCAAAAATTGAAATATAATTTATATTTATAAATATTTTGAAGTTCCCTGCCTCTAAAACTTAGAAATAGAGGATGTAAAGAAAATAGGTGTGTCTGGTTACTTTTCCAGTAAGATTTACTCAGTCTGCTTTTCCACAGGCAAATTTTTATTTGGCAAATACTGAGTTTGTAGGCGAGAGGGGTGCGAGAAAGAAAAACAAAAATTTGCCTGTTCAGAATTTGCCGTACACGCAAATTCTGCTTTGCTCTGTTCGTTGAAAACAATTTTGTTGACATTTCCTTTTGAACCTATTCGCTTTACTGACACACAGCCGGCTTTTGTTTACAAACCTGTTGCTTTAATTTGTGCAAGTGAAATTTAATTTTTAATTTTTGAAATTTATATAATAAAATAAATAAAATATTAAACAAATCTTTAAAATGCAAACATTTTGATTCGCAAATTTGGCAAAGAAATATTTGCTAATGGAAAAGCAATCGAAAATTTCAAAAGAGAAAACTAAAAAATTTGCCAAATAAAAATCTGCCTGGGGAAAAGCAGACTTAACGTTTGAAATTGATGTGTGCTGCGCCTCTATTTAATACACTGCTAGTAAATATATTAGTTTCGGGAAAAAGAAATCCATTATTTTTTCGGCAGATGGCTGTACTAATAGATTTCTCGTAAAGTATCGATCAAATAATTTCAGATTTATGCTCTTTGGAAGGGTGATATTTCGCAGTAAATAAAATTATTTTGCTGTTTTTTTTTTGGGCACTCAGTTGTGAGTTACAGGATGTTAAAAATGGAAGTGAACAAAGAGAAAATTCGGCACATTTTACAGTTTTTCTTTGACAAAGGCGAAAATGCAAGCCAAGGGGCTAAAAAATAAATTATAAAAATAAATTTTTTCATCACTCATTGTAGATGCATTTAGAAGAAATTCTGGCAGTTCAACTATATATACTATACATGGGGTGGTACAAGAGTATTTATTAAATTTAAGGCCGTAAATTTATAACCAGATTGTTTCATTACATACGTATAAGTCTGGCTAAATGTGGTGCTCCGAATATCATTGAGTGTGCCGAGGGGCATTTGCTGGTAATATACGCCATGATAAGACATTTTGTAAAAAATCACGTATCTGTGGTGAAATGGCTGCCAGGGATTTCAAGTGATTTAATCCAGATGCCGGAATATTGGTATTTAATGGTGTAGCTGCACCCGCATTCGTGCTAGCAATACTTGCAAAACAATTCTCCAATTCTTCGCTGCGATGTGATCGTAATTTTCTACGTTGTGGCTGTTCTTCTTGTGGTGGTGTTGTTGTTTGGTTGCATCCAAGGTATATTTAATAAGGTAGCCGCATCGGCGCAGCTGTTGGACAAATAAATGTCAAAAATGCTGTTGTAATGTTGAACCAAAAAATTAAAAAACAAAATTATGAATGAAAATCTCCGAATTTCGAAGAGCTTTTTTGGCAATACTTTTATTAACATTTTCTACAAGAATTTGTGTAAAAAAATCTTGCCAATCTGTTTGTTTTGGCAAAATATTTTTGACATATCAAAATACAACATCCGATGTTTGTTGTAGAAATTCGCCGATGCGGCTACCTTGTATATCTACCTTGGTTGCATCTGTTATATTTGTTGAGAGCTGCTGTTGTGTTTCACCACTGGGATTTTCTAATGTCACATTTCAACTGCATTTGCATTTGTTGCATCGTTGGACCATTCCTTGTACAGCAAATAATCAGCAATCGTGAAATTGAAATAAATACGCAAGCCATCGGCAACTTCTTTTAGTAAAGCTACGCTGAAATTAAAAAAATATAGATTTTCACGAAATTTAGCACACTGCGTCGTATTGAATGCAGAAAATCGTGTCAAGTTGGATGTATGTATTGAAGACTTGTAACTTTGCACATATGTGTATGAAGACTTAAAGGATACAAAATGAATTGACATAATTTTGGTGTTATTATTTTGTAGTAGTTTGTAACTAATATGTCCTTGTTTTCGGTGGAGCATTGAAACGTTAGAATCCAAAATTTCAATCGGCATCCCATGAGTACATATGTATGTAGCTCCGATATGAACTAAATTATTAATATTGATAAATTTGATATGATAATCGATATGAAATTTGATTTTTGACCATAATCCAAGCTAGATAATAAGGATGATATTGATCGATTACACTTATCATACGAAAGATATCTACAGAATAACGTGTTAAAATTTGGAAATTTGGCCCTCCATTCGTGAAACCACTGTTCCGAGAACGCATTTAAAGTTTGAAAAGCACTTTGTTGTTGAGATTTTCATTTGAATAGGGATAAGCTTGAATTAGTGTAGCTTCGAATTAAATAAAATCGCATTTTTTTTGTACCTACATTTTTATGGTTATTAGCAATTACATTCAACTTACCAATACCGGACGTCAGGCCAATGGCATTGCCAATAGTGCAAATGAATGCAGGAATTGAAAACGATTAGAAGTCTCGAACACGGCCTTTGATTCCATTTGTTCTTGGGCATAGATAATCTTGACTTAATAATGTTTTCCATATGCACCCATTATAACGGCAGTTGCCCCACTTAGACCGGCTAAACGAACAATTAAACCGGCTGCCAGCAATTTCCCACAAATTCAATGTAAAGTAAAGGAGACTTAATACACACACTGAGAACAGAGAACTGTATTGTTGGTAGTAGCTAAAATTGATTCAACATCAGCCATATATCTCGAATACCCAACATTTGCATCCATATAGACTGTTTTGTAAATCAAATTCAACAAAACTTATTGATGTACTTCTAGCTTGAAGCATGAATGTTTTTCCTTCCTCTGGATATGGATAAAAAGAGGAATTTCAGTTTCTCCAAAACTCCTGTAATTCGATATAAAAGCGACGTTAAGGTTAGTAGAGTATATTTTAGTGCTCTGAGAAGTTTTTGGTTGTCGGAATCAAAAAATTGTAAAAAATATTCGGCTTCCGCAATCAAATATCGCACTTTATCACTGCTTAGATTTTTTGAACACATGGTCACATGTGGTGCTAAGGCAGCGATAACAGTTCTTGTAGCTGTCAAACTATTTTGCTCATCATCTTGAACAGAGAGGTTCTCTAATGCGGCAAGCACGTCATGGTTGTAGATCGCAGCTACTCGTTTAAAGGGAGATGTTTGATAGTTGTAGTTTTTGTAATAACTTATACAAAATTGCGTTTTTAGCAATTGTGGAGCCATTTTTTCATCTTCATCCAGCTCTGAATCCAAATCAAAGACTAGTTTAAGAAATGTTGTTGATGCAAGGTCTCTTTGTCTTCCCAGATTGCTCTTAATATATATGGTATTTTCAAAAAAAGCGTTTGTGATATTAATAAGGAGGTGGGTAATGTCATAAATTATCCGGATGCCATCTTCAAAATAGGAAGGAAACATCACATTCATTGTTCTTCCGTCAGTGTATTGGTCTATAAACTTTGCTTGGACGGGGTGTCTGTCAAAAATGTACAGAATAATGTTTACATTTAATGGTTGCAGTTTCTTCAGGACCTTTTTAATTGTGTCATCTATCACTAAGGTGTTGTACTCCTTCGTGAGTACAAACGCAACAAATATCCTCCAGCCGTCACATAGCCCAATTAGTTCTACACCCAATGAATATGTTGATACATCTCTATCATCCGTATCTGTAACTTTTAGCTGATCCAATTGCAATGCACACTGTCTGTATCTTTCATCCTTTCCCTCGAATATTTTGGTCAACGTATTCAATACAGTTTCATTAAATTGCTCTAGGCTGGGTTTGGGTCGCCAACTTCGTACGGTACTTCCGCTGGGTAGAGATAATCCTAGTTCATTTATCATGTGATCATAGTTCTCGTGCGAAAGAAGATATACATGCCGAATAACATCAATCTCTGTCTCTGTATATGGTGCAATGGAGGAGCCGCAAATTATTCGTGAAAAAGCTACACTATCCGCACTGACATCTTGAGAAGGAAAAATTGCACTCTGAAGAAGGGAATCATATTTCTTTTGAAGTAAATTTTTACTTTCCACAGCGATGGCATGTTTTTCTTCGAGAGCAGCATATTTTTCTTGAAGAGTGGCGTATTCTGCTTCAAGAACAGACATTGGATCTAATGTCACATCTTCCGCAGTGAAATGATCTACATTTGAAATATCTGCATGAACGTTATTATTGCCAGTATCTGTGCCATCTTGTTTACAAATGGCAACTGTGGTATCA